CTCAGCGTAATGTCAAATGCTACAGCGTACACACAAACGGTTTAGCGTTGCGTTAAATAGCTCAGCCTTCACGCTACGCCACAAGCAAGCTCGACGATTTGCCACAACATCGAAATATTTCATGTAATGCTGAGCAATTTAATGTTCAGCGGGATTGTCTGATGTTCTGCAAAGCTATTCGATGTAACGCTACACCATTCGTGTGTACGCTGTGCCATTCCACATTACGCTGAGCCTTTTCATTGAAACTCGGTGAAGCGGCGACAGGGCGTGATTTCGTTGAGTGCTGTGACTTATATCACCGGCAAAAGACTTGTAATAAATAAAATGAACTCCCGTCTAAAGCGATAGCGAGCACACGGTTTTTCGTCTGTGAATCGTTGATTTCCGGAACTGAGTGCCGGTTCTGAATTTCCTTTTCCTTCGCCGCCGGCGTAAATCGCAAAACAACAGGTTCGCCATTTTTATTCTTTTTTTAAGTTAGCTATCTAACCCTGCCCGTGCTATGGGTTAACTTTAACCCGCTGTTCGACCCGAGGTTAGTGTTAACCTTTTTTTCTAACATTGCGACCAAAATTTTACTCCAAGGTTAGGCTTACTTAACCCTCTTTTGAACAAACGCCAGGTGTTTGAATTCAAGGATATCCTCACGTCTTGAAGTTAAGACTGATGGCCAATTTTCCTCAGCTGCTCTGGATAAAAATAAACTAATAGCAAATTGATAGGACTGAGAAAAAGACACTTCAAACTGATGGAAATATGTCTTCCTAAAATTTAAGAAATTGCAATCAATTTTCGTGTTATTCCAGCCTCGAATGGGTTGGTGATACAAAATGTCCTAATTTATAGAGTTTGTTTTTACATTTTTAAAGGCAATCAAGATACTAGTCTAAATATTCTAGCTCGGGGCTGTTAATTTCGGAAATTACGAACCCTTTTCGTCTAACTACCATGATATTTTAATAATCAGACCAGTGAATGTCTTACTTTAATTTTTTTTTTTTTCCTCTCAAACTTTGATTCGTTTAAAGGTTGTTAAACTGCACATTTCATAAGAATTAATGTACAAGAGTGGCTTTTTTAACGCTTTTAGCTCGAACATCTTAATTCCTACACGGTGGCCGTCGTCTTAAAAAAATCACTTATGTGTATGAATTAGCGTCCATTTGAGTAAAGAGTTGATTTTTTTAATCAGTCTTATAGTCTATTTATAACCTTGAAGAACCTTTGTTACCCGTTTAAATTAAAGTCTTTTCTTGTGTACCATTAGGCTACATGTTTGTGCAGCTTTCTTTTTTTGCCCCAAGAGTACCTAATAACATTAATATGAATACAGAAGACGCATCCGATGACATTTTTAAAGTAAATACGGTATGTGCCTTGTCTAATAACTTTGTATAGCTTATTTCCTTCGATACATGAATGCTGTTTTCAATTACTGCCAGTGCTATATGTTCGAAAAGCTGTTCGGTCAGCATAGAAAACACAACGGAAATTTTCCCAAAGCCCTACTTTAGACGAAAATCGAATTTTTTTTTCCTATAAGCAAACACGACTTACGACTAAAAGCAAACTCGTCTAATTTGAGTCATATTGAAGTTAGCTTTTAATTAAAAATACTGGGAGTTTAATTTTTGCAGGTTTCTTTACGTTGGCAACTTGGAACACCGAATAGCGTGACGGATGGTTTTTTAGACGGAAAATGTTGATGCTATCTGTTGGATAATTGATGGGAGTCTTAAAAGTCTACCCATTCGTTTTTTCCCTAAATGATGGCTATTTACTGAGGTAAAATTTGCTATTGTAGTTGATGAAAATTTTATGAATGTTTTATTATCTTAGATCACTGTCAGGAAAACGTTGACATGATTGACATCAGCGTGACGTTTCCTAGTGTTGCTTTTATAGGTGGTTCGAACGGAGCTTCCTAAACAGTCATGTCTGCGTCTCGGACGAGTCTTGAGCGTTCGCCTTTCTTGACGCTTCTGTTGGTATTTATAGTTACTTCCTCAACTCATGGAGTGACTGAAATATCAATAGGTACGTATATTTACGCCAAGGCAGCATGTAACAATTGCAGATTTTTTTTCGTTGGGTATAGTCGAAAAAATAACGAATTTTTGGCGTAGATGCGTCGAAGGGGAGGTTAACTTGGATGATGCCTTTAGAATTTCGGGTGATTCAAATCCTTGTCCACATATTTCAGTTCATCGGCAGCTTGTTTCAATGAAAGAAATAATGTTTTTATTTACATCATTTAAGAGAGACCACGATGCTGATTAAGAAAATGGGAAAATGTAATTCGTGATTTTTAGGCCTTATCTACATCTGAGGGCCAAGAAGACAGGTAAAAAAGACATTTTAATTTCAGGCATTAGCGAATTCGCCTTAGTGATATTGAAAAACTGAATATGCAAAGGTCTTTGGGAAAATTTTGTGGTGAGCTTGTGCTTATGAATAATAAAGGCGATGCATGGAGCCAAAGTTCTTATTTCTGGAACAAATCAATTGGGATAAATTTGAATATCTGACTTATGTGTAAAGCGAAACCTTGATAATTACGACGCTCATTGGAGTCATTAATCAAACGAGCTAGTTTTAGTTAAGGACACATGTTACAGAATTTAAAGAGAAACAGAAGTTCCAGAACCCAAGGGGTTCTTCCCTCTTAGAAACCCTTTAAGAATCTGCGTCATTATTTGCAGTTTTCAATAAGTCATTTCCATAGGGAGTGACACTGAAAAAAGGAAGCGAGACCGCGGTTCAATCCCTTTGTTCATGTCGATTAAAGGAATTAAATAAACGCTGTTTTAGCAGCTGTACAATCAATAGAATAAAAATGTTATGATTATAGAATATCGGTATGTTGGGCCTTTTTCCCTGTTAGTTTATAATCGTTATTGAAAAAGTAGTGCAATCGCAATTTCCATCACGCCAAGGAGCCACTTCATCGAATCGACCGAACTGTTTTATTCTTAAAATGTTTGTGATTTTTTTGTGAAGCCACACAGGGTATAAAAATAACTGATGAAATGGTGTAACGATAAAGGAGGCAGTAAAACCCCTCTTGCTCTTTCTGGTAGTTTTCAGATGTGACAGCCAAAATATTTATTCCAGTCTTGTGGTTAGGTTATGGCACGAACCTAATATGTAAATGAGATGGGAAAATTTTGCTCTGAAATAACAAAGGGCTCTTCGATAAGTTGCTCAATGGTTACAACAATGCAATACATCATAATTCATCATTGCAAATTTGAAACGGAAAGAACTCCGGAATGCATTTTCTCAATAGAGCGAATAAGGTTCATATTCTCAAAGCCTATTTGAAAGGAAAATGGAATAGGGGCATTCCAACTCTTGGCTGAATTTATCTTTTATAAAAGAAATAATAAATAGCGGCACGGTTTTTCGTTCGCTGTCTACGTACTGCATGGAGAAATAAATACGTCAGACTGACTACCATTAGAAATGATTACTTGAGCCCTATGATGTATTGTGTCGTGCGCCTAAGTGTTTTCGAATTTCACAAACCTGCTAGCTCATGTGGTTTGAACACCGTTGTCACGTTGATTGCGGATACGCCACCAAGAACGGCAGATTGACAGCTTTTGGAAACTTTCAAGCCGAATTAATATTACTGTGTCGAAATTACGTCAAGTCCATTGGACAGCTGGGATAATACTCGAGTCCGCCTTTCTAATCCTCGTAGCCATTTATCACATAATTATATGCAGATCATCCGCTGAAGTCAGAAAAGTTAAAGCGATTTCGGTAATCCGTAAGTGGTTATCAATAAGTACTGTTAGGTATTATACAGTGAACTCAATTTTTAATTCATTTGTTCCATTTATCCGTCGAAATAATAAATGTCCACGCGAGTTCATCCTTGATGGCCATTCTTATTTGAACCGACTCTTGGTAACATTTCCGCACATCCTCATACTATTGTGAAGCAATGCCGTAGTCCTAAAGGCAATTTATTTTTCGCCATTTTTGCTTTATTCAAGAACTGTAAGCATAATGAAGTATAACGCTTTGCCGAAATCTTACCTAGCTCATTTAGTGAGGCATGAAAAAAAGTCAGATGATCCTTATTAAGGTAATTTTACTTTGACGCGCCAAGGCGTCAACGATAATTATAAATATGAATACTGGTCTCAACTGCCTTATCTAGGATCATCTGAGGTTCGGAAATAACAACCCTCCAGCCTAAATTCTTTATCATTAATTTCTTTTAAAAATAGCTCTCTGTCAGCAGCCCAGCACATTCGTGCCTGTTCAGCTTCATTTGAACTCTTCTAATGACTTGTTTTAAGATTACCATTTGATTAACGTTCTTGCATGGCTTTTGGGAAAGCAGTTGAAAGGTAAGCTTTGCAAAATAGCTTTAAAAAGTAGATCCGCTTTCATGGCCTTTCAGGAGCAGTCTTTTCTAAAGAGCCTGGTGAGAATACAACGATTGAAGAACAAGCTTTTAGACTCGCCATTGATCATTTAAATGAAAAGTACGCGGATATTAAATTGAAAGCCTTGGTGAAGAGTGCGAACCCGTTGGATGATTTTGAGAATATTGAAAAAGGTGAGAAATTCAGTAATTAAGGAAATCGTTTAAGCTACCCGATTTCTCCAACCTCCAGGGGAAACGTAAGTTGGTCCGAGAAATCGGAAGTTCGAGAAATCGGGGGTGAAATTACAAGTGAAGCAAATCCAAGGGAAACAAGGTTTGGTTCGAGATATCGGGAGGTTCGAGAAACCGAGGGTTCGAGAAATCAGGATTCCATTGTACGACTAAAATTTGTCACGCCACAACTGAATAGCTGCCTGTGAGAGAGAAATAAATATATCTTATTAAACGTTTTGTTGTGTAGTATCGCTGAGTATTTTTACGAGTTGTGCCGTAT